CCGCCCCGTCATCCCGCTGCACACTCACGTCTGGCGGGAGGGGAGAGGGGGGAGGGGGGAGGGGAGGGGGGAGATGTGGGCGGGGAGAGGGGAGAGGGGGGGGCGAGGGGCAAGGGGGAATTGGAGGAGTGGGGAGTGGGGAGGGGGGAGGGTGGAATGTGGAACGGATGAGAGGGTGATGGAAGCACGGCTGCGTGACTCCTGCTGCCGCCGTGGTGTCTGAGATGGGCCCTGACCCCGGCATGTTGGTGCGGAACATCTCGTTGCCGTTCAGATACACCACCGGCCCGTCATCCCTCCGCACACTCACGTCTGGAAGGGGAGGGAGTGGGGAGGGGGGAGGGGGGAGGGGAGGGGGGATAATGTGCTGTGTGACGAGGATGAAAGCGGGATATAAACGGGGATAGGGACTGCAGAGCACATGCCGAATGCTCAAGGGACATTCTCAAATCTTGCTGAAAACGCACGGCACACACTGCCCCTTGATGTGCTCTCGTCTGAATGCCCTTCCACACGCGTTGTAACAAGTCGCTAACAAGTCGCAGACGCCGTTCCCCATCGGAGCTGTGGACATGTGAGGCGACTGTTGCAGCGACTAATAACGAATCTGATGCGCCTCGTAACGTGCGCTGCTGCTGAAATCGTGTCCTGCTCACAGTATGCGCTGCTCACCGTAGCTGTAGGTGCTGGCGGCCTGCTCCGCCGTGAGGTTGAATGCCTTGAGGAAGTAGAAGGTCCAGAAGTTGCCCGCGCTGTTGGCCAGCGTCGTTGCAAACCCCGCTGCAGCCTCCGCGCTGTCGCTGTTGAAGCCAAAGGGCGCCTTGCCCACCTTCATGACGCCTGCAGCGATGCCCGAGCTGGTTGCCAGGCAAGTTATGATGAGAGATGAGATGATGGATTGGGGGCAGAGGCAATGGGGAGGGGATGAGGATGAGACGAGGGGAGGGGACAGAGGAGGGGATGAGACGAGGGGAGGGGACAGAGGAGGGGATGAGACGAGGGGAGGGGACAGAGGAGGGGATGAGAGGGAGGAAATGAGGAGCGGGGATGAGAGGGACGGGGCAGAGAGTGGAGGCGAGAGGGAGGGGATGAGAGGAGGGGAAGAGGGGGCGGGGATGAAGGGGAGGGAGGGGATAAGGAGGGGACAGAGGAGGGGACGAGTGGGAGGGGATGAGAGGGCGGGGATGAGAGGAATGGAGGGAGGGGATAAGAGGGAGGGAACAGATGGAGGGGACAAGAGGGAGGGGATGAGGGAAATGCATATGTATGAGCACACCTTCACATCACCCACCCATGTATCGCATGCTCCTCACCCAACCCCCTTTCCCCCCTTCCTTCCCCCTCCTCTTCGCATCCCGACACATCGCCCATGCATCGCATGTTAGAATTATACATTGTAGCATGCTAACACTTGTGACTGTACACCAAGTGTGGTGTATAGTTGGGTTGGGACTACACCCAACATTGGGTGTAGCCTTGCATGTTGGGGTGCCAATCCAACCCAATTGTGGTGGAGCCCCCAAATGCAACCCAATGGGCCATAGGTTACCTCACTTCTCAAAGTGAGGCCAACCCAACCCATAGGTTGGCCCACTTCCCCAAGTGTGGTCAACATGGGCCATTGGTTGCCTCACTTTCCCAAGTGAGGCCAACCCAACCCAATGTGGCATAGGTTGGCCCACTCCCCCAAGCTCCACCTCCCTCCCTTTCCCTTCCAAGCTTCTCTTCCATCTATGTATGCTTCCTTGTTACCTGATGAAACAAATGGTTCAATTCCAGCTTTCACATCGCACGCTCCTCATTCCCCCCCTCTTCCCCGCCCCCTCCTCCCTCCCACCCACTCACTTGATCTTCCAGGACGGGTACTGCGATGCCACGTTCGTGCCCCCATCGGCAAACAGCCAGTCGGCCTCGCTGCCCTTGACCAGCACAGACGACCCCACATGTGACACCACGGCCCGGCACGAGCCGTTGAAGCACGCCGCTCCCTCAGGGCATGGAGAGGACCCCACTCGGTTGTCCACGAGCCCATCACAGTCATCGTCGAGCCCGTTGCAGCTGAAGGGGGAAAGGAGCGGAGGGGAGGGTGGGTGCGTGAGGGAAGGGGAGGGTGGGTGCGTGGGGGAAGGGAGGAGAGGGCATGGAGAGGACCCCACGCGGTTGTCCACCAGCCCATCACAGTCGTCGTCCAGCCCGTTGCAGGGCGAGGGGGGGAAGGGGCGTAGGAGAATGGGTGATGGGTGGGTGGGTGGGTGAGTGGGTGGGTGGGTGGTGGGTGGGTGGGGAAGGGGAGAGGTAGGAGTGGAAGGAAAGGAGGTGGGAGAGGGGGGGAAGGACGCAGCACAGGTTTCCATCTACTGCCGGGTTGTGACATTCTTTGTCCACGCCATTGCAGGCTCAGACCAAGACAGGAGGCACACGCTTGCATTGCACCACGCATACACGCACGCATACACGCACGCACGCACGCACGCACGCACGCACGCACGCACGCACGCACGCACACACACACACACACACACACACAAACACACACACGCACGCACGCACCTCTATTAAGGGTTGGCGAGCAGAGCAAGGGGAGAGTACGCCATCCACACAGCTCATGGTGCCGACACCACAGGCGCTAGCGCACGGTACTGTGATGGGCTTCTTGGTGAGGCCTATGTCCACCTTGCCTGGTGGTTGGTTGGGGGTGGGGTGGGGAGGGGAGGGGAGGAAGGGAGAAAAAGGGAGGTGGGACACTTCAGAGAATTCGCAGAATTGATTTCAGCAGAGCATGGTGTCGACACCACAGGCGCTAGCGCACGGCACTGTGATGGGCTTCTTGGTGGGGCCTATGTCCACCTTGCCTGGCAGTCGGCGGAGGTGTGGGGGAGGACGAGAGGAGGGGGGAGGAGGGAGGACAGGTAGGAAGAGAGTGGTACAGTGGGTATGATAAGAGATCAGAGAGCATGGTGGCAAGGGAACAAGGGGGGACGGGGAAATGAGGTGAGGAGGCAGAGGGCAATGATGGGTAGGGAAATGGACAGGGGAGGGGCGTGGAGGAGACAGGAAGGCAGAAGGGAGGGGGGGGGGAAGGGGGATGGGGGGGTTGAGAGAGAATGAGGTTTGGAGCATGACTGGTGTGCCACGTAAATGCTGCATGGGTATAATTAGAGGTGGCAAAAGGCAAGCAAGTGTTCGATCAAGTTGATGTGGCCATCGATCAAGTTGATGTGGCATGGTGGATTTATCATAGAGATAGGCAGCAGCATCAATGATCTAATACAGTGCTGGTTGCAATGGCTATGGCTATGGCCATAGCGTTAGTGGAATGGAACACCTGTTTCTCTCACCATCGCCATCGTTGTCAAGCCCGTCACATAATTCTGGCCGTGTTGACTTGCCTTTGCACTTAGGGTCACTGCATGCATGCGCGCACACATACACACACACACATCCATACACATATGCGCACACATGCATACACATACACACGCACGCGCAAACATGCATGTGCATATGCCTACATACAGTCACACACATTAGTGAACCTACCGGAGACAACCATGAACACGCACAGAAATGAAATCCCCACCCACACCTCAGTAACCACACAGCAAGATGGAAGCACATGCATGCACACACAGATGCACCACGCATGCCACAGAGGAAAGAAGGGCGCCGAGCAGATGAGCGTGAAAGCGAAATGAAAGTCTTCAGACAGAGTACAGCAAAACACAGCCAACGCTTTAAGGGGCCTGAGAAAGCAGTGATTTCAAAAGTGGACACAGGTACAGCTCAGCATAGGGAGGCAAGGCAGGGGAAGAACGAGAAAGGGAAGGGAGAGATGAAGTGATGAGAAGAGACGGGACGAGAGAGGCAGAGAGACGGGGAAGATGAGGAGATGTATGTGCGTGTGTGGTTGCACAGGTGCATGCGTGTATGCAGGTGGCTGGGTCGGTGCATGTGAGAGCGTATGGTGGGAGTTTGAGACAGTGAGAGAGCACGCACGGCAGCTGAGCGGAGATGCGCATGTCAAAGGCCACCTCCCACGCGTAGTTTTGAAACGCGTGCACCTGCACTGCCACGAAGTTGACCCCCTCCACCAGGCTCACTGCCCCCGCTGGCGCTGCTCCCCCTGGTGCCGTGGCGAGCGGCACTGTGAAGGTCGTGTAGGGTATCGGCACCTTGGTGAGGGGCTCTAGGTTTGATAGCGCCTGGTGGAAGGGCGGGAAGGGTGGAGGGAGGGAGGGAAGGAGGGAGGGAGGTGAGTGGAATATTGTGCGTAGAGATAGGATGGGATGGGATAGATGACGAGTGGTGGTGCATAGATTGGGTACTGTGAGCGGTGCGGCGGTGGTGCAAGGTACATAACATAACCATCATTCCCATGCACGCATGTAGGACCCACCCGTACCCATTCCCATGCACCCACGTAGGTCCCACCCATACCCAATCCCATGCACCCACGTAGGTCCCACCCATACCCAATCCCATGCACCCACGTAGGTCCCACCCATACGTGCAACATTCCCCTCCCTTACACTCACACAACACTTTTTGTCCCGCACCCCACGCCTTGTCCCATCCTGTACCCGACACCACGTCCCATCCCACCCCACCCACACACCAACGCAGGCTCGTGTTTAGAGAGCGAGGGAGGCACGCACGAGGGAGGTGTTAGTGAGCGCCCCATCAGGCAGGTTGGTGCGGAAAGCCTCAACGTCGTTGATGTACACAACTGCCCCGTCGCTGATCAGTAGATCGACGCGCTGCGCTGTGTAGCACTTGCCTGATGGAGTGGAGTGCACGCGCCAGCAACCACTGCCGTTCGTATCCTCGCACGCACCCACCTCGCACCCACCTCGCACCCACCTCGCACCCACCTCGCACCCATGAACCAAGACAGCAATTGAGTCGACACGCGATTCACCTTCCTTACACACGCACGTCCCATCCCATTACCGTCCCAGGCACCCCATTCCACGTCCCGCCCCGCACCCCACGGCACGCACGAGGGAGGTGTTAGTGAGCGCCCCGTCAGGCAGGTTGGTGCGGAAAGCCTCAACGCCGTTGATGTACACAACTGCCCCGTCGCTGATCAGTAGGTCGATGCGCAGCGAGGTGTAGCACTTGGTGTTGGTGATGGTGAAATTGGTGCGGAAATAGTAGACCACGCGAGAGGGGGAGACCGGGGCGAGCACTGTTGCGATGGCCGGATTGTCCCCTGGGGGATGGGCGAGGAGGGGAGGGGGGGGGGTGTTGGGGATGGAGTGGGAGGGACGGGAGGGAGTTGGAGGGAGTTGGCGAGAGTTGGAGAGAGTTGGAAGAAGAGTGAGGGAAGTGGAGAGAGGGAGGGGGCAGGAAGGGGAGGGAACGGGAGGGAGCGGGAGGGGGAGAGAGCAGGAGCGGGAGAGACAACTGTTGATTTGGATATGGTGATGTAATGAGAGACAGGTGAAGACATGACCAAAAGCACGCCCTGGCACAATGAAGCCACCGCCTTGAAGTTGTGAAGTGGAGCGAAGGAGACGCCATGAGCCAGGGACAAGTTTGTGAAGTGGAGGGAAAAGGCTTGAAGGAGCAGAGGCAAGAGGTAAGGAGGATTGCCTCAAAGAGGACCTGCAAATCAGGAACGTATGAGCGCAAGAGCGCTGCACCACGAGCAACGCAGATCTCCGTCACCACACTCATGATTAAGCCCGCACGCACCGCACCGCACCGCACAGCACAGCGCAGCGCAGCACCGCACCGCACAGCACAGCACAGCGCAGCACAGCGCAGCACAGCACAGCACCGCACAGCACAGCACAGCACAGCACAGTCCACACCAGAAATCCCATAACCAATCTCCCCGAAAAAGGTCGAACCTCCGGGAGGGAATGGCACACGTACAGTTGGCATACCAGCCCAGCGGGCCCTTGCCCCTGCGCCACGTGCCGGGGGGGTCGATGGAGCGAGGCACGGAAGGGACCTTCTTGGGCCCGGTGGTGGGCGGGGTGAGCAGAGGCGTGGGCGAGAAGAAGGTGCGTGCGCCGGAGTAGGGCGGGAAGTAGTCCAGCCCCGAGTCGTCGAACAGCCAGTCGCTGCCCGCGAATAGGATGCTGCGCTGCTGGGTTGACCTGCGAGGGGCGAGTTGGGAATAGTTGCGATTGCGGGGTTTGGGGTGAAGGAATGGCATAGGAATAGGATGGGATGGGCATGGGATGGGGATGGGATGGGGATGGGATGGGCATGGGTTGGAAGAAATGTATGGCATGGCCGGAGTAGGGTGGGATGGGAAGAAGTCCAGCCCCGAGTCGTCATACAGCCACTCGCTGCCCGCGGATAGGATGCTGCGCTGCTGGGATGTCCTGGTGGGGGTGGGTGTCGGGTTTTGGGTTTTGGGGGTAAGGGTGGAGGGATGGGATGGGAAGGGATGGGATGGGATGCGATGCGATGGGATGGGATGGGATGGGATGGGATGGGATGGGATGGGATGGGATGGGATGCTCATGGGAAGGAAGAATGGTATGGTATGGTATGGTATGGCATGTCATTGGTATGGCACTTGATGTCGTTTGAGGTGCGCTTCATAGTGTGTGCACGTGTGACAAGGTAAATGGTGCAGGAACGCGGCTCAAGAACCGGCTCAAGAACCGGCTTAAGATCCGGCTCGAGAACCGGCTTAAGAACCGGCTCAAGAACCGGCTTAAGAACCGGCTTAAGAACCGGCTCAAGAACCGGCTTAAGAACCGGCTTAAGAACCGGCTTAAGAACCGGCTCAGGAATGTGTGACAAGGTAAATGGCACATGCACATGCACTGTTAGGCGGACTAAAGAACCGGCTCACATGGACGTGGACGTGCAGGTCATCGGAAGGAGGGTCCTTGCATTGCATCCAACACCCTGCACTCTTAAGCGGATTGACTATCACCTTCACACGCACGTGCACTGCACTATCGAATAGACTCACTCAATAACCAGCCGACTCAACTCACATGAACGTGGACGTGCAGGAGGAAGCAGCAGCCGTGTCACCGATGGGGATCAGGTAGGCGATATCGGAGAAGTTTCCACCCATGGCGAGGTTGAGTGCGGGCACAGGCGCAACGGAGGCACAGGCAAAGCTGTAGAGTGCTCTGTTGCCCGGGATAGGGTTGCCTGGTATGGGCCTGGTGGGGGATCATGCATGGACACACGGACGGACATGCATGCATCAGTGCACACACATGCACCACATGCACATGTACACAGAGGCACATGGATAAGAAAGCGCCACACACTGACTAGCATGCATGTGCGGAGATACCGACACACTAACCCCCAAACCCCCCTGCACACACATCGCCCCAACAGAGCTGGACTCCTTGCCCACGAGCAGCTGCCGCGCCAACCCCGTGCCCCCCCCCCCCCCAAACCCCCACTTCCCGAGCCCCCTCCCCCATCCCCTCCCCAAGTGCACTCACAGCGCGCCCACAGAGCTGGACTCCTTGCCCACGAGCAGCTGCCGCGCCACCCCCGTGCCTCCGTGGCCCAGCGGCAGCACGCGCAGGGTGAGCCCCTGGGCGCAGCTACCACCGTCCTGGAAGGCTGCAGAGATGTAGGACGGCACCCAGGTGGAGCCGTTGGGGGAGCGGATGGTGATCTCGTACGTCATGCCTGGGAGAGGGGGAGGAGAGGAGAGAGGGGAAGGGAGTGCGCAGGGTGAGCCCCTGGGCGCAGCTGCCCCCGTCCTGGAAGGCCGCGGTGATGTAGGAGGGCACCCAGGTGGAGCCGTTGGGGGAGCGGATGGTGATCTCGTACGTCATGCCTGGGAGAGGGGGAGGGGAGGGGGGAACAGGAGAAGGGGGGAAGGGGGGAAGGGGGGAATGGGAGAAGGGGGGAAGGGGGGAAGGGGGGAAGGGGGGAAGGGGGGAAGGGGGGAAGGGGGGAAGGGGGGAAGGGGGGAAGGGGGGAAGGGGGGAAGGGGGGAAGGGGGGAAGGGGGGAAGGGGGGAAGGGGGGAAGGGGGGAAGGGGGGAAGGGGGGAAGGGGGGAAGGGGGGAAGGGGGGAAGGGGGGAAGGGGGGAAGGGGGGAAGGGGGGAAGGGGGGAAGGGGGGAAGGGGGGAAGGGGGAAAGGGGGGAAGGGGGGAAGGAGTGAACGTGGAACCATTGGGGGCGGACGGTAATCTTGGACCTCATGTTAAGGAAGAAAGGGGGGGAAAGGAGGTTGGTGTCGGGAAGGTGGGAGGGAGGGAGCACGGGGGAGAGGGAAGGAGGTGTAGGCCCAAGGCTTGATGAGGTGGTGGGGGGAGTTGAGGGCGGTGTGCGAGGACAAGGTAGAGGGGGGGTTAGGGTGAGAGGGAATGCGGTGGGGGGAAGAGAGGGAGGGGAGCAGCTGAGTGAGACAAATGAATGGAGGGTGAGCGATGGCTGAACGGTGGTGGAAAGAGAGAGTTGGGGGGTTGGCATGTGCATGTGCACGGGCATGTGCACGGGCATGTGCACGGGCATGTGCATGGGCATGGGCATGGGCATGGGCATGGGCATGGTGGGGGATGCGCACCTGCGAGGAGATTGGGGTAGAAGTATCGGAGCGTGGTGTCGTGCACGTTCATGTAGCGCACGTTCAGATTGCCGTCCAGGGCGAACGATGCCTTGTCCTCCACCCGCACGATCTCCAGGTAGCTGGGGAGGGAGGGAACGAGGGAGGGGAGTGAGAGGGATGAGAGAGTGGGGGAACTATTGAGTCGACTCAAAAGATTGTTGTCCAGGGCGAAGGACGCCTTGTCCTCCACTCTCACGATCTCCAGGTAGCTGGGGAGGAAAGAGAACAGGAGGACGAGAAAGGAGGAAGAGAAAGAAGGAAGAGAAAGAAGGAAGAGAAAGAAGGGGGTAGGGGAGTGACTTCTGAGAATTCTCTAAAAAGATGCCTTGTCCTCCACTCTCACGGTCTACAGGTAGCTGGGGAAGGAGAGAAAGGAGGTAGGGAAGTGAGAGGAAGAGGGAGCGGGGAAGAGAAAGGGAGTGGGAGAAAGAGAGGAGGGAGAGAAAGAGTGAACAGGGAGAGTCAAGGAACGGATTGGAATGGAGGGACTGCGAAGGGTCCCAATGTGCAGCGCATCATTCTTATTGCATTGGGAAACATGAGCACATGGATTTTCGCACGAACGTGCGCACGCACACACACACCCACTCACACACACACACACAACACTCCCTCCCCCCCCCCCACTCTCTGCATTCCACCCCCCCCTCCCCCCCCCCCCCGCACGCACCTGAAGGAGCCCCTCTTTCTAGCGTCAGGCGAGTCATTGATGGGCGAGAAGCCCGGCTCAAAGTACGAGATGGCCACGCTGCGGTAGCACGCCTTGGGGCACGCATACCCGTTCCACGCCTTCATGGCCGCGCACACGGGCGCTCCCTTGACCTTGGCGGGCGGTAGCAGGTAGGAGACGTTGGCAATGGCGAAGCCACCCTCTTTGACGGAGCCGGGGGCTGTGCCGGTGAGCGAGCCGTCTAGGTCCCGCATCATGAGGAACGGGGAGACGGAGCCTGTTGCTACGGTGGACCCACCCTGGGAGAGAGCGAGGGGAGAGGGGAGAGAGGAGAGAGGAGAGAGGGAGAGATGGGGAGAAAGGGGGAAGGAGGGGGAGGGTGTGAGGAGAGAGGTGAGATGGGGAGAGAGGAGAGATGAGCAATTAGGAGACGTTAGCGATGGCGAAGCCGCCCTCTTTGACTGAGCCGGGGGCTGTGCTTGTGAGCGATCCGTCTAGGTCTCGCATCATGAGGAATGGGGAGACGGAGCCTGTTGCTACGGTGGGCCCGCCCTGGGAGAGAGGGAGGGGAGAGGGGAGGGGCGGGAGTGGGGAGAGGGAGGGGGAGGGTGTGAGGAGAGAGGGGAGATGAGGAGGTATGGACGGCTGGCAAGAAACAGTGGTGGTAGACTCTGTTGGGCTAGAGGTTGCTGCTCTGGGAAAGGCTGGTGGTAAGAGAAAGCAACGGGTAAAGAGGTACCCAGGGATATCGCACAGGTGGCAGGTGCTTTCAACGTGCCTCGTGATAGGGAGGTGCAGCGCATGTGGAGGGAGGTGCTCCTGGAGGCATGGTGCATGGTGCATGCATGGTGCATGGTGCATGCATGGTGCATGCATGGTGCATGGTGCATGGTGCATGGTGCATGCATGGCGCATGATGCATGCTGCATGGTGCATGGTGCATGCATGTCGCATGATGCATGCTGCATGGTGCATGGTGCATGCATGGTGCATGATAGGGATGAGCATGGAAACGAACACCTGTTCGGTTCGCCTCGAACGTGTTCGAGGCGAACCGAACAGGATTTTTTTTTGGCTAAAAATGTTCGGGGCGAACATGTTCGGTGTTCGCCCGAACACGTTCGGTGTTCGCCCCACTACTGCTGCCGAGCCGCGTCGAACACGAACGCGTTCGTGTTCGTTTCGGGCCAAAAACGAACACGGATGTATTCGTCGCGACTGCCCCGCGATCTACAATTTACGTTGCGGGACATTCTGTTTGAGCTCAAATCTGAGCTCAAACTTAGTCGCGCTATTCAGCAGCAGCCATTATTGCCACGCCGCCCACACATCACGCCGTTATCACCTCATTAGGACTTAGCGTAAGTAAGTCGTTACGTTAGGTTAGTCTGTCTAGACTTGGGTATGCGAGATTTAGGTTTTCGGGAAAGGATTAGACAGGATACTACAGAATCTCGTAAGTTGAGGGTTGCGGGTAAGCATTCGCAAATTTCGTATGCATGGGATTGAGAGGAATAGCGTTCGCAAATTTCGTGAGTTGGGGGGTTGTGGGGGGTTGGCGAGCAATCACAAATTTCGTAGATATAGAGGGGGGGGGGAGCATTTCGCCTTACGTGGGGGGAAATCCAGGTGGCGAGCTGGATAAAAAAAATGCTGATCCAGCCTAGATATTTTCCCTCCATTTCCGGCAATGCCCGCCGTTGCGTATATCGAGCGTAACAAAGGAAGCCCAGGGCGAACACGAACGTGTTCGCCCTGAACACGTTCGTGTTCGCCTTAGCATGCAAGATGTTCGCCCTCACAGGCGAACATCGAACACCCTTTTTTGTAAAAGGTGTTCGGCGAACCAAACACTGTTCGGTTCGCCGAACGGCAGTGTTCGAGCTGGGGCGAACGCGAACACGTTCGTGTTCGCCCCTTGCTCATCCCTAGTGCATGATGCATGCTGCATGGTGCATGGTACATGGATGGTGCATGATGCATGCTGCATGGTGCATGGTGCATGCATGGTGCATGGTGCATGCATGGTGCATGGGAAACAATATGCCCCTGTGTATTGTGGTGCAAGGCCAATGCAGCATGAAAGGACGGACGGGCGGATGGGTGAGGTGAGAGGAGGGGGCGTTGAAAGAGCAGTGGAGTGGAGTGGAGTGGAGTGGAGTGGAGTGGAGTACTGACAAGGAAGGGGAAGGTGTCGCCAGGTATCCACATGCGGTTGGCCGCCTTGAAGCTCACGTTCTGATGTATGGGTTGGAGGTGCATACACACAACACAACACAACACAAGGGTGTGACGAGGGAAAGAGGACACGTGTGAGGAGCATGGAAAAGGACTGAAGGAGAGCGGGGGGAGGAGGGAGGGAAGAGTAAAACGGGGAGGAGGGATGAGGAGATAAGAGAACTGAAGTAGGAGAGGAGAGTGGAGAGAAGCTAAACAAGATTCTCACTGCCATTTCCTTCCCTTACTACGGCACGCCTTGGAAGTCCTTTTCTCTCTTTGTTGTATGACACTCTCTCGCCTTCTGCCTTTTTTCGCCGGACAGCCTGGCTTGCATGGATGTTACAGGAGGAGGGGATAGACAAGAACCCTTCCTACAGAGCCCTGCCATGCCTCATCCTGACAGCCTGAGAGCCTGACAGCCGGACAGCCTGAGAGCCTGAGAGCCTGAGAGCCTGACAGCCTGGCTGGGACCTGAAGTTAACCTCCGCATGAGGGTGATAGAGCAGACGCGCCCACGTGCCTGATCACGCCCCTCAGCACGCCCACCTTGACAGCCTGGCCGGCGTTCCAGTAGTCCTTGTAGGTGGGCGAGAGGCCCAGGGCGAACCCCGCAGCCGGGCGGCACGTGGCATCATAGTTGAAGAAGCTGGGGGGGTGAGAGGGAGAGAGGGAGAGAGCGGGATGGGGATGGGCAGAGCAGAGCGCGCACACACACAGTGCCACACGCGTTAGAAACGAACGAGTACCAGCATCGACAGCAACCGACCGAGCCCCAACGAACCCAAGGGAGCAGCCAACCCAGGCAGCAGCAGCAGCAGCAGCAGCAGCAGCAGCAGCAGCAGCTCACGTGGTGTTGGCAATGAGGGCAGCAGTGTCCCCCAGCTCTGTGAAGTTGCGCTGGTCGTACACGATCCCAAACGCCGGGAACGGAAAGCGGTTCCCGCCTGTGGACCTCTGAGTCGACTCAAACCAAAACTCACGTGGTGTTGGCGATGAGGGCAGCAGTGTCTCCGAGCTCTGTGAAGTTTCGCTGGTCGTACACGATCCCAAACAGCGGGAACGGGTAGCGGTTCCCGCCTGTCGACCTGCCCAGCTGGTCGCTCGTCAGCGGTAGCCTGGGGGAGTGAGGGGGACGGGTGGTCGGGGAGGAAGGGGGAGGGGGAGGGGTGGTTATATCAGGAGCAAGAGGTACGGAGAAGTGGAAGGAAGAGACGTCGAAAGGGGATGGGTAGCGGTTGCCACCTGTCGACCTGCCCAGCTGGTCGCTCGTCAGTGGTAGCCTGGGGGAGTGAGGGGGGCGGGTGGTGGGGGAGGAAGGGGGAGGGGGAGGGGGAGGGGTAGAGGAGGGGTGGTTATAACAGGAGCAAGAGGCAGGGAGAAGAAGTGGAAGGAAGAGAAGTCGAAAGGGAAGGGAAAGCGGCGCCGCCTGTCGACCTGTCTGCTGGTCGCTCTTCAGAGGTAGCCTGGTGGGGCGAGGGCGGTAAGGAGGTGGGTGGAGGCGGGAGGGGAGTGCGAGGGGTAGGTGGAACAGGAGGGAAGGGCAAGTAAGAAATAGCTGTGCCTCAAAGAAATTTGGGATTGGGATGTGAACCTAAAGAAAGGGACGAAGAAATGGTTGCTCCCTTGACCTGCCTGTAAGAAATAGCTGTGCCTCAAAGAAATTTGGGATTGGGATGTGAACCTAAAGAAAGGGACGAAGAAATGGTTGCTCCCTTGACCTGCCTGCTGCCCTGTTGCTAGAGCTTGAGACGTCGCAAACAGGGGTTGCAAAAAACAAACAAACAGACAAACAAACAAACAGACAAACTCTGACGTTTCAGCATCACCCGGCAGCGGCAGCTCACTTGCAGCCGGTGATGGGCGCGCAGTCCCAGGGCTGTGCGTTGGTGCACCCCTGCGGCGTGCCGTAGTTGTTAGAGAGCCCCACGAAGCGGCAGCCGTCCACGATGGCGTGCTGTGTCTCTGCGAGGTACAGCGACCACTGGTTGTCCGCAAACACAGAGTCCTGCATCGTGAACGCGTCAAATGTGTCCATCAGCGTGCTGGGGGGGGGGAGGTTGGGGTGCGGGGGGGAAGGGAAAGGGTGGGGCGAGGCGAGGCGAGGGAGAGAGAGGGGAAGTGGTAGGGGTTTTGAGGTGGCTCGGAAGCGACATTTGACGTGCGGGAAAAGAAGGGGGAGGGCGGGTGGGGAGGTCGTACGAAGGAGAAGAGCGGGTTTTGAGGTGGGAAGAGAGGAGGAACGAGCGGACAGGGAGGGAAGGAGGGGGGGGAGGAGAAGGAGGAGGAGGAGGAGGAGGAGGAGGAGGAGGAGGAGGAGGAGGAGGAGGAGGAGGAGGAGGAGGAGGAGGAGGAGGAGGAGGAGGAGAGAGGAGAGGAGGAGGAGAAGAAGGAGAAGGAGAGGAGAGGAGAGGAGAGGCGAGTAGAGGAGAGGAGAGGAGAGGAGAGGAGAGGAGAGGAGAGGAGAGGAGAGGAGAGGAGAAGCGAGGGGAGGCGAGGAGGGGCAAGGCAAGGTAGAGTGAGCGTACGCGCTGCCTTGGTGCTTGTAGAAGGTGAGGCGGGAGAAGAGCACGCGCTGAATGGGCTTCAGCCACTGCACGCTGTACTGCTCGTGGGGATGGCAGGGGCATGGCAGCGGGATGGGAATGGCATTGGTTGTGGATGGGGGGGAGAGAGGAAGGAAGGACGGGGCATTGAAGGTGTGGCTGGCGTGCTCGTGCGATGCGAACAGGCAGCAGAAGGAAGCAATGCTGTGAGGTGAGGGTTCCCAGTGAGTCATAAACCAGTGCAGAGCAGAGCAGACCAAGGAGCAGCACTGGAGAGCACGAACACTATCCTCTGCACGCTGCTACACACTCTCCACACAATCCGCACTCTCCGTTCCCATCCCACAGCTGCCGCCACTCACGGGGTTGTGCTGGGAGAGTTCTGGAAGGCGCCCTGGCGTGGGTAGGCGCCGGGTACGTGGGTACGTGCCCATGGGTTAGGCCTGCAGGCCTGCAGATCCCGTCCCAGCGATGTTTTGAGTCAACCCAAAACACACCCCCCCCCCCCAGCCCACCTGCCATGCCATGCCACCCACCACGTACAGGGTTCGACTTTTGAGGCGCCTCAAAACCTGCCATGCCAGCACAGCACGTACAGGGTTCTGCTGGGAGAAGTTGCGAAAGGCCCCTTGGCGCGGGTAGGCGCCCATGGGGTAGGCCTGCCTGCAGGCCCCAGAGGTTCTTTGAGTCGACTCGAAACACACCTCTCAGCCTAGCTACCAGCCCCCCTCACTCACGGGGTTCTGCTGGGAGAAATTCCGGAAGGCCCCTAGGCGAGGGTAGGCGCCCATGGGGTAGGCCTGCAGGCCCCAGAGGCCGTTGGAGTGGAAGGTGCATCCGGAGAAGGCCCCCCAGGGCGTGAAGAAGGGCAGCAGATTGTAGTACCCGGGTATGGTCCCTGCCAGGCCCGACACGCCCCACCGCAGGTAGTACCACACCCTGGGGGGTGTGGTGGGGGGAGGGGATTGAGGGGGGAAGGGGGGGACGAGGGGGAGGTGAGGGAGACGGGTGGAAGGCGGTGGAAAGAGGGGTGGAGAGGGTGGTGGGAGATGAGGGGGTGGAGGGTGATGGGGAGAGAAAGAGAGGGAAAGGTTTCGAAGCTCTGACCGTGCTCCTTCACTGCACACTTTCGCTCGCGCTGCACTTCTTTTGAGGCGCCTCAAGAAACTTCACATGCTCCCTCCCTCCCGCCTCTCGCACTCCCCCAGCACATCCGGCTCATGACGCCTCAAATGGCTACTACCGCCCTCCCTTCTCTTCCTTCCGCTCCCAAGCGTATCCCAATCCAGCGCCCCTTCCACCCAACGGTTCACTCACTTCACTGGTCAAGCGGACCCAGTGACCGTGTCCCCGTTTCATGGAACTCTGACATGTTCATTTCCCACCACGCCCCACACGTCCCACCACGCCCAACCTCGCCCCACCACGTCCCAGTTGGGTGCCCGTGCAGCCCAGCAACGCGCAGCACTCACCCGGCGGCAAGGGAGCCGGCAGCAGTGTTGTTGATAAAGTCGTTGTCCGGGTTGGCGAGCAGAAACGTGGCGGGGTTGGGACGTGGAGGGACCAGAAACCCATGGGACGTCTCTGGATTCTCCACGTCCCACCACATCCCACCACGTCCCACCACATCCCACCACGTCCCAGTCCAGCGCCCATTCGGCCCAGAAAGACAGAGAGCTCACCCGGCGGCAAGGGAGCCGGCAGCAGTGTTGTTGATAAAGTCGTTGTCCGGGTTGGCGAGCAGAAACGTGGCGGGGTTGCTCGTGTCCCGCATGCCCGACACATCCCTGCCGGCTGGTGTGGGGGGTAGATGAAGGATGGGTGAGGATGGTTGAGTTGAGTGGTGTGTGAGTGGGGGGTGATGCAAGGGAGGGAGCGGGGTTGCTCGTGTCCCGCATGCCCGACACATCCCTGCCGGCTGGTGTGGGGGGTAGATGAAGGATGGGTGAGGATGGTTGAGTTGAGTGGTGTGTGAGTGGGGGGTGATGCAAGGGAGGGGTCGGGGTTGCTCGTGTCCCGCATGCCCGACACGTCCCTGCCGGCTGAAGGTGTGGGGGAGATCAAGAAGGGGTTGTGGATGAAGCAGGGTTGGGGATGATTGAATGATGAGATGCAGGCGGGGTTGCTCGTGTCCCGCATGCCCGACACATCCCTGCCGGCTGAAGGTGTGGGAGGGGAGGGGACGGATGAGGCGCGGATGAGGGGGGGTGGGGGATGGTTAAATGGCGTGAGATAGGGGTGATGAAGGGAGGGGTTGCTCGAGTCCCTCTTGCCTGACGTGTCCTTACCGGCTGGAGGGTGGGGGGGAAGGAGGGGGCGGGGATGAAGGAAGGAGGGGTTGGGAGAGGCGGGTGATATGTAGGGAAAGGCGGTTGATTGATTGGGGGGGGTTGAAGAGGGTTTTGGAGAAGTGGGGGCGGCGAGCGAGGGGACGGGGAACATATATATACTCTGGTTCCACCTCCCACGTCAGAAATCAATGCCGCAACTGATCCCCTAATGCATTCGCTACCCATCCACCACCCATCCGCCCCCCATGCCCCCCCATGCTCCCCCCATGCACCCCCCATGCAACCCCCATGCAACCCCCCCACCCCCCCGTGCACCCCCGTGCACCCCGCCCATGCAACCCCCCCACCCCCCCGTGCACCCCCCCCGTGCACCCCCCTGGGCGCACCGCGGCGGGTGAGGAAGCCGAGGTTGTTGGCGAGGGTGTTGCGCGTCTCGCTACCCGAGGACAGCATGAAGCAGTGCCCGCGCGTGTCGTACGCCACGTTGCTCTCTACTGCCATGCCGCTCGCTGCTGTCAGCACCAGGCAGCGCTGCAGGAGTGGGGATGGGGGGGGCGGGGGAGATGGAGGGAGTGCAGGGGGGCGGAGTGCAGGGGGGCGGAGGGGGGGGAGGTTGTTGGCGGGAGAGCATGAAGCAGTGCCCGCGCGTGTCGTACGCCACGTTGCTCTCTACTGTCATGCCGCTCGCTGCTGTCAGCACCAGGCAGCGCTGTGTTCGGGGGATGGGGGGAGTTGGGGAGGGAGAAGGAAGGTAGTGCAGATGGGAAGGAGGGAGGGGGAGATGGGTTAGAGTGGTAAGGAGGGGAGGGAGGGATGGGCGAGAGAGAGGGATGTGGAGTGGAAGGAGGGAGAGGAAGCGGATGAGGGAGAAGGTGGGCCAAGGAGATGAGACGGTGGATCGTTGCAGGTTGGAAACCTATGCGTGAGGATTGCTGAACTGAACTCGATCCGTGTGTGGGAACCAGAGAGCGGTGGGTGGGCAGATGGGATGGGAGAGACGAAGAAGTTTGGGGGAAAAAGGAGTGGGAGGGACGGGCAGGGAGCGGGGGCGTGACTGAAGGAGCCAGGGGACGCGGGGAGAGGTGGGGGGGGGTGGGAATGACGAACGACGGTAAGGCGAATGGCAGAGAGAGAGGAGAATACTTCCACAAGTGGCATCGTGACAATCACACACGTGACCCAACCGCAATCCAACCAGCTCCCAAACCCCCCCCCCCCTCCCCCCCATCACATACATCTCATCACATTACTTCACATCACCACCACCACGCCACGCCACTCACATTATTCGTGTGGTGAAACGAGTTCTTCCGGCAAACACTCGCTTCCGCACCCGCTGTCTGCCCCTGATTCTCATGGAACATATAATGCAGAGGAAACCGCCCCTCCAGCCCCTCCTGCCCCAATCCACTAAACTCCACCCCCTCCACCGCCTGCGCCCTCTGGGTGAAATACACCGACACATGGCCGCCCTCGCGATCATAAGGGCTGCTTTCTGGAATAGATGTGATTGTAACAGTGCGTGATAGTAATGCCACCTCCGCGCGCTCGTTTATGTAGCCCCCGAACCCGTCGGGCACGCCCAGGGGGTCCCCGAAGTGCGAGTAGGTGAGCGCGCGGGAGAGAGTGAGCAGCGAGGTGCCGTTGGGGAAGGTGGTTACTGATGGGGGAGGAAGGGGGGGGAAGAGGGGGAGAATGAGCGGGAAGGGGAGAAGGTTTTGAGACGTCTCAGAACCCGTCGGGCACGCTCAGGGGGTCCCCAAAGTGCGACTAGGTGAGCGCGGGAGAGAGTGAGCGAGCAGCAAGGTGCCGTTGGGAAAGGTGGTTACTGATGGGGGAGGAAGGGGGTGGAGGATCGGGAGGGGAAGAAGGGGTGGGGGTATGGTGGTGGTGAGATGGTGTGGAAGCATGGAAGGTCTAGGTCGTGGAGGAGAAGGGCAGAGACGAGAGAGAAGGGGCGAGTGCGAAGCTAAGAGAGGCAGAGGGAAAAAGGGAAGGCTGTATGAGACACACACACACACACACACACACACAGACACACACACACAGACACACACACACACACACACACAGACACACAGACACACAGACACACACACACACACACACACACAGACACAGACACACACACACACACACAGACACACACACACACACACACACAAAATACACGCACGCGCTCTTTCATACCCTCTCAGCTTCCCCATTCTTCCACTCCCTTGCCCGCCGCAACCCTCCGCACCTGCAGACTGCAGTGATGCTCAGATCCTCTGCACTGCACCTGCTTTCCGAGACGACTTAAAATCGTCTCACCAACCCTCCTCACCAACCCTCCCCACCAACCCTCCCCACCAACCCTCCCCACCTGCAGTGATGGTAACATCCTCTGCCTGATCCGTGCTGTAGTCTGTCGAAGACACCGCTATCAGGCCCCCCACCGGCCACGCCGACACGTCAGCGCCCACCAGCAGTGACGTGGCGCCAGCTGGCGCCGTTTTCGTCAGCTGGCACCAGGAGCGGGTGGAAGGCCCCCCGGGCATTCCGTGCAGATCCAATCGGCCTCCTAGCTGGAGGGGAAGAGAAGGACGGGGGGAAGGGGGCGGAGGGGGGGGGGGTGGGGGGAAGAAGTGGAGAGGGGGAGAGGGGATGGGGGAGGGCGGAGGGGAGAAAGCAGGGAAGGAATTAACGGAGTAAGGAGTAGAGATTTCAGGTAGACATGGCCATCGGTTCGGCTCGGTTCGAACCGGCGCGTTCACTTGTAGGGAAAGGAAAGTGGAAAGGGGAAGGGGAAGGGAGAGGGGGGGCGGAGGGGCATGCAGCGCCATTATACATCTGCCTTGCCTAGCTGGGAAGATGATGGAATGTAAGTTGAATGCTGGTTGGGATGGGAGTGGAGAGTTGTGGTAGGAGGCAGATGAGGGAGGAGGAAAGCGCGCTGGGCTGGAACATGAAGGAAGAAGACTATTGCATGGCTGGGTGGGTGGACGGGTGGACGGGTGGACGGGTGGACGGGTGGACGGGTGGACGGGTGGACGGATAGACACACACAGAGATGCACATTCACACACAATAGAGAGGCACGCCCTCGCCCCTACGCAGCACAATCCCTTCCCCCCCATCCCCCCGCCTGCGCACCACAGCGAGCGCCTTGTGCCCCAGGTTGCGCGGATTGGCGGCGTCCGCGGGCAGGGGGTCGGCGACGAGCAGCGGCGCGCGCGCGCTGGGGTTGGGCGTGAGCGTGAGCACGGCGCGCTGGGAGAAGTGCTGCTGCTGCGCGCCGATGGCCAGACGGCCCTGCAGGAGAATGAAGGACGCGTTGAGGAGTAGTAGAGGAAGGGAGGCAGTATCCTCGAACCTGCGCGGGGGAGAAGGGCGGGAGGGCGGGAGGGGGGTGGGAGAGAGGGAGCGAGGGAGGGAGCGAGCGAGGGAGGGAGGGGGGGTGAGTGTGTATTGGACGGGAGGGAGTGGGAAGAGGGGGAAGACGTGGGGGAGAAAGAGGGAGAGCGATACGGGAGGAGAAGAGCGGAGCGGGAGTGGGGGAACCGGGGGTGGGGGGGAGAAGGAGGAACCCGGTGCGGTGAAGGCATGAAGCGGCGTGTGTTTGGATGGGGTGAGAAGGGAAAGAAGCTTGCCCAGGAGCTGGCGAGTGTGAGCAGGGGCTGGGCGGGGGATGGTGTTTGGGACAGAAACACAGAGAGCGAGTACGCGGGAGGAGGAACCGTGGGAAGCTCATGGGAGGAGCGGAGGTATGGGAGGGAGCGAGCGAGGGAAAGAGAGGGAGGGGGAGTGTGGAGTACATGAGGACGCCTTGAATATTGAGGAGGGTGAGCAGCACGGGCGACGTGTCGAGCAGCACGGCCTTGCCGCACGGAATGGTCACGTTCGCGCCCTCCAGCGCGCCCTGCCCCGGAATGTCCCCGCCCTCCCACGTCGCCGCGTCGCTCCACCGCTCAAACGCTGCACGCACGCGGGGAGAGGGGGAGGAGGATGAGAGGACGGGGAAAGCGGACGGATGGGGATGGGGCGGAGGAGATGGGGCGGAGGAGGGAGGAGGGCGCGGGAAGTGAGGGGAAAGAGGGCGGGAAGGGAGATGGGGAAGGATTGGGGGCGTGAGAAGGGGAGGGGAAGGCGCTTAGTGAACCAACCACGACGAGGCGTCACCGCGAGTGAGCGTGAGCGATCTGGCTCACGACCGTACGACTGTGATTCTTGAATTTCTTGAATTGAAAGGCTAAGGCCTGTGAAAGTTCAAGCAGTGCGGACCCCCGGCGACTGACTTCGACGCCTGCCGCCGAAACGGACACTCAGTGAGACGGCTGTGACGCTCAGCCGGCTCTGACGCTCACTGAGTGACTGGTGGTGATAGCAAAACGCGGATGAACTCGCGTTCCATCATCTCCGACTCGGTTCCTACTTGTGGATTCTTCGTTGCACGGCGAAGTGAAGCTGTCCCTCGCCGCAATTGGCGCCGCGTTAGCCGCCAGGAGGAGCGGTCGCGCGGTACCGCCCCATATTCTCTCCCCGCGATTCACGGCGTCGTACTTGCTGGGGGGAAGAGGCATGGAAGGCGGTTGCCAGACTACTAATAGCACAATGCACAATAAATGCAGCCATGCCCGCTGATGCGGCGAGAGCGGCGACATAGGCTGCGCGGGTGCGGGCGCTTCAGAAGGTACTTTCTGTTAATATGACAGAAGAAAACACTGATGGCGAATCCTTTCGAAGTCAGGGTCGAAACTTAGCACGGAGAACAAGGAAAACTGACTCAGATACTGCGAGGCAAATGATCGTTTCGGGACGCATGCTTTGCTCTTGCTTGCTGGCCTGATCTCCTAAACTGGTTAGATGAACGCAGACGTCAAGTCGCATCGCAGGCCCGCTCTTTCAGGCCGGATTACGCTGTCGTACTCTAGTGTTCCTCGCAAGGACATGGTGTAGTAAATGGGGCACCTAACCTTCCTTGCGCTGTGTGTGCAGTCGCACTCTTGTCACTCTGACGTAATGTTCACTCTACCAGGAGGTAGCGACACATGATGCCCCTTTATTCCCCTTACATCCCAGCTTGCATTTTGCTCCTCTTTTCCACCCGTGGCAGTTAGGGGCAAATTCGACCTGAACGTAGTACTGGGGTTACCACCTCAACTACTGATCCCAAATTTCGGGTAGCCCAACGTGCTTTGTATGGGAAATCAGGGCAATTTATTAGCAGTAGTGTTTGTCGTGGGCCTGTAAACTGTTGGCTATTGCCAGCACCATCGACCCCTGCTCCTATCGGTTGCCTCTGGGCCTGTAACGAAACGACCATAGAGGTGGAGGCAGTTGAGTGTTCCAGAACCCAGGTCCCTCCTGCTGGGGATTTTGTTTTCAGCTGATGCTGGTTATTTGGGATCCTGTTCGCTCAACAACTCTTCTTGGAACTCTGGAGACTGCTTCCAAGACTCGAAAGTGAAAGGTAGGCAAGAACATCTACACCCTCTTTCTCGCCAGACTGACATTGGCCATATTGACGGACCGGCTGTACTGACATCAATGCGTCCAGAATGGTCCCAGAACATACCATATAAGCACATTTGCCGCACTCAACCGTACGCAAACGCACGTTTCCTTCCATAAAACGTTGTGTACCATTCCTCTGGAGTGCATTTGCCCGCCACCTACCTGCCGTTCGGTTGCAAGCACCAGATCGCTAGGGTCCAAGGAACAGTACGCTAGGGTCCAAGCAACAGTACGCACTGTAGCCAGTGCTTCCCATTGTCAGTCTGGCGCGAGAGAGGGTGTATAGCAATGCATGATCACCGAACAATCGCAACTCTCTCTACCGTCCTCTCGGGGTTAAAGCCGCGGTGCAACTTCTTAGGAACAGTAGCAGGACAAAAACTGATTGTGCGTAATTGGACTTCTATTGGTCGAAAAAACTAGAGTTTCTCAACAAGACAAACCTCATGCCTGTGAACTGCCTGGGTCAACCTCTTCCAAGCTATAATACTTTGAAGTCGAACTTGATAGTTGCACCGCGGCTTTAACTTTGCGGCAGCATTTTCCAATACACACGATGCTCGTTTGACTAACCCAAGGTTGCCTTGCGAAGAGGGCTTTTAAGTGATTCTGGGCAAATCGCAAATTTCGTCAACGTCGCACCAAGCAAAAAGGGGCTTATAAAACAATTGTAACTCCCCGTTGACATTTTGACTTCGGTCTCTTCCGTGTGACTTCGGTTTCTGTGGTTCGTATTGGTTCATAACCACTGCAACTTGCTCGAGGAGCTTGTAATGTGGGTGCAACTGGCTGGTAAAAAAAACACGGGTGCAGACTTTCTATTTTTGGAAGAGTCAGTTAGTATGTCAGCTTGGTCAGTAGTTTATTACAGACAGAAACGGGAAAGAGAACCAAAGGACGTAAGATGAGAACCTGGAAAGGCACCAGCAGCAGCATATGAAGCGGAGGGAGATGGGGGTGGGGAGGAGGTCAAAGAAAAGGCATCAGTATCTCACCTTATGTTGCTCTTGGATCCTCGCATCGCCTCACTTACATGGCCGCCCGCCCCCCCAAACCACCTCTCCTCATTCTCCCTCTCCCTCACTCCTTCCATCCCTGCCTCTCCCAGCATTCCTCTCCTCCCGCCTTCCGCAGCGGGGGGCGGCGACCCGAAGAGCTTCCACACGCGGAGGGTCTCATCAGCTGCTGCCGTGGCCACTGTTCGACGGTCGGGCGCCTGCCAGGTCACAACACGCACGCGCACGAATAGAAACGGGGTTAGATCTCAAGCTGAATCGCCGACTAAAACAAAGCTCATCGCGTCGTGTATCCGACCAGCAGCAGCAAGCTCACCACAGCCATATGAAGGACGCGACCGCGGTGGCCTGTAAGCTTGCCCACTTGCAGCAAGGAGCCAGCTCCGGCAGCGCCCGCTCCCGCGCCAACGCTCGCGCTCGCAGTCGCCCCATCGCTCGCGCCGACGGCCCAGACGCAGATGGCGTTGTCGCTGTAGCCGTGCGCGCTGATGAGGTGGCGCGACGAGGGCCCCCAGGACAGCCCCGTGACCTGCGACCCCGTGAACGTGGACGACAGCAGCGACCCTTCCTGCGCGTTCCACACCTTGATGCTCTTGTCGCTTGACCCGCCGCCCGTCGCCAGCATGTGTCTCTGAGAAGAAAAACAAGACAAGAACAAGGCATTAGAAATAAGGCACTAAGTCCAAGCTAGGAAAAACAGACAAAATATATTTGCCAGTTGACCCAAGAAAATCAGTCTAGCGTTTACTAAAAGTGCACAGCAAAGTAAGGATGTTATCGCGGAGGGAGGCGCGATGTGCCTCAAGGGTTCTTGAGGCGAAGAGGAAGTTACCTGCGTGGGGCACCATGCGAGGGCCTTGACCGCGGCCTGGTGCTGGGGGAACCGATGCACGCACGCTTGCGCTGTCGGGTTCGCTTCCATGCCAGAGGTAGCGCCAGCCGTTCCCGCCAGGGAGGCAGCGGAGGCGGCAGCGGAAGCGGCGCGGCGGAGGTCCCAGACGGCGACGAGGTTGTCGTTGCCGCCGCTGGCGAGCACGGTGGCGGCGGATCCGCCGCTGATGCCGGCGGAGGAGATGGGCGCGAAGCGGAGCCCGCACACCTCGTCCCTGTGCACTCCGCGCAGGCGGGATACCGCGTTGCTGGCCACACGCACTGCGAACGACAAATAAAATATATAAGTAAATCAATAATAAAAAAAAAATGAATAACTCGACCAATGAACAAAAGGAACGAGCTGTTGCGGGTCGAGAAACGTGTTGAAATTGCCGAGGCATGGGGACGTTAGGGTCGAGAAGTCATTGTACCGTCGTGCGTGATAATGGACGTGTCTCGACTGCCCGTCGCGAGCTGGTACGACGCTCCCCAGTGCATCGCGCTCACGCGGTCGCTGTGCCCCGCCAAGTCGCGAATCTGCCACACCAGAAAAGAGTCCGTACATTAGTGTCTATGACGTCCGAAACCATCGATACGAAGCAACCGAAGACGCGGAATTCACGGTTCACGGTCAAGCGGTATCTCCCACGTCATCGTACCTTCCTGCACGGCTCGACGGCCCAGAGCTGCACGCAATCCGCCTGGTCTTCGAATCCGACGGCGAGGTGGGTTCCATTGTCGGCCCATGCGACGGACGTGACGTCGCTGTCGCCCGACACCACCTCGCTCACGGACCCCGTCTCGCTGTTCCACACGTGCACGGCGCTCCCCAGCCCGATGGCCACCACACCCTTGCTGCTCCAGTCGAGCAGGTTCAGGTAGAAATTGTCTACCATGTCCGGTGCGTCGAGCACCAGGTCCGCGTGCTGCGGGCGGAATCACAAAGAGAGAAACGAAAGGCTTCATGAGCGAACGTCATATCCAAAGGTTTCATGATACTGACAGCGGGAAACTTTGATTGAAAAATCAGGGACGGCATCGTCGGCGTGTTTCGGACCTTTTGTTGCAGATTCAAGGGCCCGCCGCGTTTCTGGCCGGTCTTGGTGCCGGTCGGCGCGGCTCCCGCTGTCGGGCTCGCCCAGAAGTCGCGGCTCTTTTCGAGCCTATGATGGCCCTTAGTGGACCCATCGACGCCGTGTGCCTCGTTATCCGTGGCTCCGAACTGAAGCATGCGACGAGGAGTTCCCGAGGCCGTCTGTAGATCGTCCAGCAGGCGCGTGTTTAGTTGCCGACGATAGCTCTCCTGCGCGGAAAAAACGAGAACATTGTTAAAATCCTGCTAAAGTCTGCTTAAAGTAAATTAAAAAGGCGACACGCGCAAAGGAAAACGGTTCTGCAATCACGCGACGTCGTCGCGTCTCTGACCTGTGCTGGCGTCGTCACAGCGGCGGAGTCCCCGTGCTTGCTGACTGGTGCTCGAGATGATGCGCCAGAAGCAAGCAGCATGCGCGCTTGTGATTTGGACAGGTTTCCACGGCTTAGAATGAACCGGTCAGACGCGGATGCCTGAATCAGAGTAGAAAATACGAGAAAAAATGAGAAAGGGCTTGCAATTTCTGAGAAAACAAGAAAAGGCTTGAACGACTTCAAAGTTTCGGAAAGCTTACGTTAGCGTCCGCGCGAGGTGTGCACCGCCTGACGGGTGTGGACGGAAAAGCGATCTCTCTTTTCTTGGTGGGAGTCGACGTAAAGGTAGGAAGTGAGGCCATGGAACTGTCTATGTGCGCGTGTACCAGCGCCGTGTGGAATGAGCGTGTGGAATGAGCGTCTGGAAATGTTGCTGAGAGGACGAGCTTATCAGGAATGCAAGGAATCCGAGAGGCTTGAACTGATAGATTAGCTAATGGGAAAGGAAGTCCAACTGAAATAGTTTCCACTCCACAGCACATATGCTGCAAAGAGCTTTATCAGCTGGTGATCATCGGTTCCGCAGGTTTGAGAAAGGTTCCACTGGAGTTCCCGATGGGTGCTGATGGCGGCAAGGTGGCGGCTGTTCTGTGTGGCGGGCGACCCTGACAGTGCTTCAAAATGTGTGCGGGGCGCATGGCGGGGAACGGAGGAATTATGTATTACAAACGCAAAATCCATGATGTGTTAGAAGACATTCTACCACATTTCCTACAACCATTCTAAACAGCACTATTAGAACCATTGGTTTGAAATGGGAGCAATATCTCCTATCAGATGACGAGGACGCTGCAGAGATATTGCATTGTCCAAGCATGCGTTTTACAAGTGGATTGAGGAATAATGTGCTATGTGTCTACATACGGAATATATATTACAAAACATTTTCAATAGGAACACCTTGTTCAGCGAATCTAAAATGGAGCTCCCTGTCAAATATAATAGTTATAGGCTGTAGTGAGTTGCATTCTAGAGGGTACAGATGCTAGGGTTTCTTATTTGTATCCAACACTTTGCTAGTTCGTGCATTCCGTTGTGTTTAGATTCTGAGATGGTATCCGAGTAGGTTCCGTTCCTAGCTCCCCGCCCTACCCTAGCCTAGCCTAGCGCCTTCGCGCCTTAGCGTCCTCCGCGCCCTCCGCGCCCTCCGCGCCCTTTGCGCCTTAGCACCCTCCGCGCCCTCCGCGCCTCCGCGCCTCCGCGCCTTAGCGCCCTCCTAGCCCGGCCGCGCCCTCCACGCCTTCGCGCCCTCCTATCGCCCCTCCCCACGGTCAACCGCCCCTCCCCACTGTCGTGCGCGCCCTCCTCACCGTTCCGCGCCCTCCGCGCCCTAGCCCGTCGACCAGGCCCGCGCCCTAGCCCGTCGCCCAGGCCCGCGCCCTAGCCCGTCGCCCAGACCCGCGCCCTAGCCCGTCGCCCAGGCCCGCGCCCTAGCCCGTCGCCCCAGCCCGCGCCCTAGCCCGTCGCCCAGGCCCGCGCCCTAGCCCGTCGCCCCAGCTCGCGCCCTCGCCTAGGCCCGCGCCCTCGCCTTAGCCCTCGCCCCCACCTTAGCCAGCGCCCTACCAACGCCCTCGCCAACGGCCGCGCCCTAACCCACGCGCCACCTCCTCCTAACGTCCCAACCGCCCCTTCTCACCTAGCCACCACCCTGTCTCCCAGGCTAAAACCGTTCGTACTGCTACTGGCTTCTCACTCCGCGGCTGGCAGCCGCTTCTCGCTGCGGTCACTAGATTTCGACCCGGGTCGCACATAGCTCCTAGCCTCTAGCCCCTAGCCCGGTTTCCTCCTCCACTGGCGCTCCTACGACTCATAGGTTCACCTCCGCCGTTCCTAGCCTAGCGTCCAATATGGACTCCTCCCGCCGCCTTCGTTTCGATGCGGAGGGGCGACCGATCGAGTTCAGTACCTGGCAGCGCCAGGCCACGCGCTACCTCACTAGTCAGCGTCAGGACGGCGCCACCCTGTGGGCCCACGCATCTGGTGCCCTCAAGGCGCCCCTGTCTCCCGACCCCCTCCCGACCGACCCTGAGCCGACTCCTGCGGCGCAGGCGGACTACGACCGTCGTGTCTTGGCGAGGGACGTGTGGGACTCTCGCGACGCTGCTGCCGCTCTTGCGCTGACGGAACTCCTCCCCCCGACTGAGGCCGCCCACTTTGACCAGGTGGAGACAGCTCAGGGGGTTTGGGCTGCTGTTGTTGCACGCTATTCCACCCCTTCCTCTGCCTCCCTCAGTTGCCTCCTCATGCCGTTCGTGTTTCCCGACCTCGGCTCGTTTGCGACTGTGTCCGACCTAGTGACTCACCTCCGCTCACTTGACGCCGGTTTCCGAGCGGCCTGTACCGACGCCCAGCTTCTTGCTGCTCCCCCCCCCATGTGGCTCACTGTACACTGGTTAGTCACCCGCCTCCCTGACCGCCTTCCCACTGCTCGCGACGCGCTTCTCCAGAAGCACCCCACTGAGCTCACTATCGATCTCTTTGAGACCGTTCTCGGGACGATCGAGAGTAGCCTCCTCACCGTTGCCTCCACCACTGACGCGGTGGCCCCCTGTCTCTTTGCGGGGTGTGCCGCCCCTCAGCTCCTCACTTTCACTGCTACCCGCGCTTCAGCTGCTGTGTCAGTTTCTGGGGACACTGCTGCCGTTTCTGCCGCAGACTAGCAGAAACGGGGCAAGAGTGGCAAGAAGGGCGGGAAGGGGGGAGGTGGAGGCGGTGGAGGCGGCGGTGGAGGTGGCGGTGGAGGTGGGAGCGGCGGTGGTGGAGGCGGTGGCGGCGGCGGCGGCGGAGGTGCACCAGGCGGAGGGGGCCTTGGAGGAGGTGCAGGACAGACAGGCCCGCCCACTGGCGGTGGCCCGACCGGTGGGGGTGTTGGACCCCAGCAGCAGCAGTCGCAGCAGCACCAGCCACAGCAGGGACAGCAGCAGCAGCAGGGACCGCAGCAGCTGCAGGCACCGCAGCAGTTCCAGCAGTGGGGGCCCCCACTGCAGTGGGGTCCGCAGCAGCACTGGGATCCCCCGCCGCACTGGGGTCCGGGAGGACCAGGGAGCACCGGCCGCAGCGGCAGCACTTCCAGCTGGGCCCCTTGCCCCCCTCGCCGTGACACTGGCCCCTGCACCCACTGGTGCCTCACCGGACCTGGCAGCCCCTGTCTCTGCGGTCGTGACGACCACTCTGCCGCGCGGTGCTTCCGCCGCCTCGACGACCTCTACCGTGCTCGTTGGGGCCCTACGGCGACCACGCCTCGCTGGGCTCGCCTGTTAGCCCGTAAGATTGATGTGTTTGATCTGTCCATGGACGATGCTCGTCAGCATGCTTTGTATGCTGATCTTGACTATATTGCTGTTGGATTTGTATGCTCGCGTGTTCGTAGATTAGCTTGCTTGCCTCCTGCTAGTGTAGACTTGTGCCTTTCTAGTCTAGGTGCTTGTGTTGCTGCTCTAGGTGCTTGTGTAGCCACTAGGACAGGTGACCCTCCGGCTGAGACGTCCCTGTCCTTCACGCTGGACTCTGGTGCGTCTCAGTGCTTCTTCCGCGACCACACGACCCTCACGCCTCTCCTCACTCCTGTTTCGGTGGCTCTGGCTGATCCTACCTCAGGACCAGCCATTGCGCGTAGCTCCACTACCCTCCCGTGTCCTGTGGTCCCCTCTGGTGTCTTGCGCGGCCTCCACATCCCCTCGTTCACTCGGAACTTGGTGGGTGTTGGTTACCTCCAGGACAGGGGGATCACGGTTACCTTTGTGGGGGGTGGGAGGACTGTGGTCTGTACAGACGCTGCCACAGATGCTGTTCTGGCCACGTTCACCAAGGAGCCCCGCTCCGGTCTCTACGTTCTCCACACCGAGCGCTCCCTGGTTGCGTCCTCCGCTCAGGTCGTTGCGTCCCCTCCAGTCCCGGTGTCCACTCCGGTTGTTGTGTCTAGCCAGGTGGTCGTGTTTTGTCCAGTTGCAGTATCTAGTCAGGTCGCGCTGTCTAGCCCAGTCACTGCGTCCTGCTCCTGTCGCTCCCTCACCCACCGGACCGTCTTGTGGCACCACCGCCTTGGCCACCCGTCGCTCCCCCGCCTCCGCGGGATGACCACTCACGGGCTTGTCACCGGTCTCCCTCGCACCTTTCCGTCGCTCCCCACCTCCCCTGCTCCCCCTTGCACTCCTTGCGTCGCCGGTCGCTTACGCGCCACTCCCCACTCCTCCTCCCTTCGTCCGGCCACTGCTCCCTTCGAGACCCTCCACTTGGACGTCTGGGGCCCTGCCCCGACGCAGGGTTCTGGGAGGGAGCGTTACTTTCTGGTGGTCGTCGACGACTTCTCCAGGTACACCACAGTGTTCCCTCTCGCGAAGAAGTCCGAGGTGACTCCTACGCTGATCCGGTGGCTTCTGGCCACTGAGGGCACTCGTGGTCGTCGTGTCAATTGTCTCCACTCCGACCG